CCCCACGCCTCGACCTAATGCTTGAGACCCTTGCTCGTGAAGTGGATTGTGGATTGTGTTTTCTTTTGTCCTGTTTAGAAGAAGAAGAAGAAGAAGAAGAAGAAGATCATTATCCAACATTTTATCCAATCTATTATTCGCTAAATAAATTTAATCCCATCAAACCTATGGAATAAGAGGGGATTGGATTGATCCCCATGCCTCGACCTAATGCTTGAGACCCTTGCTCGTGAAGTGGATTGTGGATTGTGTCTTCTTTTGTCCTGTTTAGAAGAAGAGGGGATTTCCTAAATCCACCCTTCTTCTCCTCTACTTTTCCCTTGTCACAAATCACCAGCAGCCTTTTCTTCAGATTCTCCTCTCACCGCTGACATTCTCCCTCCTGACTAATTTGCCTCTCACTGGCCAGTGACATTCTCTCTTTTGACCAATCACCCTCTCTCAATCTCAGCGGTGACTCTCTCCCTTACCTCTCCTCATCTGGTTTGCTCCTGCAAGTTCACTAGATGGGATTCACCGATCTAGTTGCGAGGAAGGCAAAATCATATCGGTTGCAACTACATCTGTTTTTTTTTTTTTTGCCAACAACTACTTCTGATTCGATTGCATATTTGTTGAAAAAGATGAACCTCTTTCTTTTTCTTTAGAAAAATAGTTTTAACTTGAAGCATTTTTTTAAAAAAAATTTGGGTTCTTTTTAGTTTTTGAAAAAAGAAAAAAATGAAAACGAAAATGTTTCATACGTAGACCATTTACTAGTTTGCTTTCACAGAAAAAAAAAGAAGAAGAAAAAGAACAAAATTGGGTTTGTGTTTAATTTTCGAGGAAAGAGAAGAAATTGAAAAAGATAATATTTCATAAGAAAAAATGAAATTAGGAGCTCTTGTTTGGTTTGTGAGGAAGAAAAAAAGAATGAAAAATAAAAATACTTCATTAAAACTCAAAGAATTACTACTATTTACTTTCATAGTAAAGAAAATGAAAATACATATTGATTTTCTTGCCATCTGATTTTTTTTTTTTTTTATAAAGCCACCCGAAAGTTTTTAGTTTGATTGAAATATAATTTTGATAGAATTGAATTCAAAATTTCAAATCCATCATGCTAATTAATTAAATTAATTTCCCAATTTGATTGCCTTGACCTTTTGTTTAGATGCCTTAAATCCCTCACCTGGTACAATATCACTTGGAGGCCGTGACTTTGATCTCGGTTGGGATCTAGACCTTAAGCGTAGCATTTTGGTCGGTTGGTCAACATCCATATCCATAGCCTCACCATCACTATCTCTCCTGTCAAGTGACCTCTCCCTCTCCCGGCCTCTTGATTTTGCTCCGTGCACAATCAACTGCTAAAGAAGGATCCAGGCCCAATTGGGATAACTCCCTGCCCATCCTCTCCGTTGTGAACTCCCCGTCCTTGTCAACTTTCCTCGTATAATGGGCCTACTCTCTGCAGTGCTCTTCTTAATCCTATGCTGTTGAATAAGCAAGCTTTTCTTCTTCCAAATCTCACCTTGTGCCTTTTGCTCTTCTGGAGTCAAATCATTGCCATCCATCTCAAAGTCTTCATCTCCCTCCTCTGCTTGTCTAAGACCCTCTTCTCGTTCCAACTCTTCAAGCCTTAATAAAGTATCAGGATCGACAAAGTCATACACATTGTGTCCATCAAGAATTTCAGGCATTATATCTTCTTTCCACTCATCATTAGCCAAGATATAATTCTTCCTCAAACTAGCAGAGTAGACTCTAGCCCCACCATTCTCATTCTCCAAATCCGTTTCTGTTTTCCTCTTTTCCTTCTATGCTGCTTGCTTAGCTTTGGCTTCCAAAACGGCCTGAGGAATGCAAGTAGGTCTTTCCTTCTGCTCACGTGGCTTTGGTATTGCAACATGAAACCTATTTAGGCAGTCATTTATCCTTTTAGATTTCATCTTCAATTCTACCCTCTGATCCAACAACCTCTCACAAGCTGCATTCTTCACAGCAATTACTCCATCCTCAGTCAAACTGCTCATAGTCAACAGGACCCCTTCTTCATTTGCAGGTTTGCCACCCTGACACATCACAATCTTCAAGGCTTCTGCTTTCATCTCCATGACCAACTTCGTATCTTCCTCAGATAACCCATCCAGTGGCTGCAGATCTGTCTTGTTGCAGACAAGAATCAAGGGTTTGTTCATAAATGACTTAATGCTGTGGAAAAGAGCAGCCTGCTGCGCAATGCTGTACCCACATGATCCTTGGATGTCCAAGAAGAATAAAATTGCAGCTCACAAGTGTGCCAGTGCTATAATACTACACATTTCAATAATGTTGCGATCTTCAAATGGCCTGTCCAAAATCCCAGGCGTATCAATCACTTGGTATCTAAGGTACTTATAATCAGTGTGATCAACAAAGAGTGACTTTGTAGTGAAAGCATAAGGCTGGAAATCCACATCAGCACTGGTGATTTTGTTCATAAATGAGCTCTTTGCCAATATTAGGATACCCACAAATCAAGATTGTCTGAGTATTGGGATCAAGAGAAGGCAGCCTTGCCATGTGTTGTCTAATCTGTTCTAAGTAGGCCAAACTTGGGCTAATCCTGTTTATAACCGCACACATGCATCCTAAGGCCGCAACCTTAAGAGACTTGCACCTGTAAGGGGAGTCACCATACTTCAACAGCTTCACATAATCTTTAGCAATCTTACCAATAAGGTTTCTTGTCTTGTTTATCTGGCCAAGAGCGAGTTTATAATGATCCTTGTTGTAAAGCACGTGAAGAATGTCCCCATAGAACGGATGGATATCATCTAATCGAGGGAACTCATCAATAATTGTTGAGAGCTTCTCATGAAAATTCTGCTGAGTGTATTTCACTTTATGCATGTAAAACTGCCTGAGGCAAGAAATGACATAACCTTTGTGCACAACAGTTGGCATCTGTCATTGGGTACGAAAGACAATAATGTCAATGAAATCCTTAACATTTGATAGCATAGTAATCTTCTTAAAATTACATTGCACCATCTGCAAAAGCTAATCTGCCAAACTAAATTGATATAAGTACACGAATTTTCAATTTTCATCACTAATAGTCTGTTTTTTGGAAGCAAGAGGATAATAAGTAACAGTAAACATAATCAAAATCATTTCTTTCTATTCTTTTCTGCTTTTTCCTTCTTGACCCATATTCAGATGTTCTATTAACAATCTATTTACAACCTACAACAATATAAATTACAGTTCAAACTGTCATATTTATAGAATCAATCAGAAATCTCATTTTTTTGGGATCAAAGGTTAAACTAAAGGAAAATGATTCATTGAGGACAACAAAGCCTCACAACCAACCATATAACATGGGATGCGTAGCGATTCGGCAAGAGCATAAAAAGGTGGATACATATAAAAGGCTCAATAGTCACTTCAACGTAAGGATTTGATATCAACAAATTGTTGTCAATAATTTTCGTAACTAAACCCACTTACAGAAATCTGCGGAGACAAATTTGAAGCTATAAAACTAACAAGCAAAGTCATGTGTATAAATAAGACATTCAAACTAAAAATGGGAGGAAAATATGAAAAAAACAAATTGAATGATTGAATTCGATCTCTTACTCACCCAGGAAAGAAAATAAACAAAATTTCAGAACTCGAATCTGATTTAGTCAAGATCTCGAGTTCCTCGGAGTCAGTCTCCAAGCATCTCCCCAGCAGGGTCGTTCACTAGTGAGGAGCAGAGTTACGAAGTAGTTAGGGTTTTGGGTTTTAGAGGTGACAGGGCTGAAATGGGAATTGTACGTGTGAGGAAAAGCTTATATTAGGAATTGCCAAGGGCGCAACAGCGGACTTGTTTGTCTTACTCCAACTATTATTTTGTTTTGTTTTAAATATAGCTGAGAGGAAATGACAATTATAGGATTAGATTTGTTTATTGTTGTTATAATATTTTAGTACATCAATTTTTTTTATACAAAGGAATTAATCGAAAAACTAAAAAAATACAAACATTTAAAAGGCCTTTGTTGTTATTTTTTGTACCATTATAATAGACAATTCATCAAAATAATGTCAATTTATACATAAGATAGAAATACTTCTTATATCCTATAGTTTAAAATAAATTTATTTTTACAATTCACAAAACAAAAATACCAACCTATATCTAAGTGGTAGAGCCACGAAGCAATGGCATTTGCATATTTGTTGACTTTTCACAATACATGTCACAGTTTATGGTGCCATTTTTCTTTTCGAGAGAGGATTTAGATTTATTTATTAAATTTTCATAAAGGAGTTGCATCATATATAATTGACCTTTTGTACAGTGATCAAGGAATTAGATTCTACTATTACATTGCGATGGTTATTTTGCCATGAAAAGTTTGAGGATGAAGTAGATTTCTGCACGTATTGCATGACCTATGCTCCAAATTGCTTGTGGAAACTAAACTGCCATGTTCCTTCTAGCTCTTTGCAAATACTTTCTATTGTTGAGAGGCTTTACGATCCCAGTGAAGAACCATCTATATTAACTATATTAATTAGAAGCAACAATTGATAGGTGTTTTAGAAAAGGTAAAATAAATACACTATGATATATGATTTGTTATAAAATGAGTTCCACCCAACCAAACTAATTCATAACTTTATCCTTGATAAATGTTTTCACACTTTTAGCATGTTTTGTTTGAGGGAAATAAAGGGAAAAGGATGGAGACCCAAATTATAGAACTTACTATGGTGAATTTATTTGTCAATGAATCAACTATTTTTGTTTTGTTTTAAAGATTGTTGAGAAGAAATGGTAGTTGCAGGAGTAGAGTTGTTCTTATCCATAATCTAAGCCTCTATTTAGTAGGTTGTAGTTTTGAGTTTTTAATTTTGGTTTTTAAAATTTAAATAATCAAACTTAATAATTAGAAAAGATTAGTATTTATCCGTTTTATCTCATAAAGATTAGGAGAAAAATTATTTCAAAACTATGTAATTTTAATAAAACATTATAGAAAATTATAAAAACACTCTAATTCATACTTTAAAATAGGGTATTTTAGTATTTTTTAATGAGATTTTATTGAAACAACGTAATTTTAAAATGATTTTCCTTCTAATTTTTAAGAGATAAAGCGAATAAACACTATTTCTTAATTAGAAACTAAAAATAAAAATAAAAATAAAAATTAGCAATTTATTAAGTATAAAATTTTAAAATAATTACTCAAAACTTCAAATTTAATTAATTCATAGAACTATTTAATTTTATTTGGAGTTTCTAAATTTTTTAAAATCAGAACTAAAAACTCAAAATTACAACCACACTAAAAGAAATCTAAATATTCTAATACATCATTTTTTTTAAACATATATAAGGAATTAATATAAAGGCTTGGCACACATATAAATACTCAAAAGGTCTTTTTGTCATTCTCTATATTACGTTTATAGGTAATTCAACAAAATAATACCAATCTCATGTCCAAATAATAGAATTATGAAGTCATGATATCTGCACATACTAATTTCTTAAAAACCATCTCAAAATTTACAATACTAATTTTTCGTAGAGGAAGGCTCGACATTTGTTGATTAAACTTTCGTATGGGTCAAAACAAGTTGCTCCATGGTTGATCTTTTGCACTGGCAGCAAGGAATCAGGCTCCACTATCGCATTGCTATAGTTCTTTTGCCATGTAAGTTCCATAGCTTTGAGAATGTTGTAGATTTCCACAGGTGTTGCATGACCTATGCCAGATTATATGTTGAAACCAAACTGCCATGTTTCGCTCCTGACTCTCTACGAATACGCCTTGCTACCGAGATGTCGTGGGATCTTAGGAACCATCTACATTAATCATATTATATGTAGTATTTTATAGTCCAATATTACCCTATTTTCTCTAAACATATGTCTAATTTTACTTGTATTTTTCTTTTGAAAGAGTGATGTGTCATTAAGATTGCAGATCAAGAACTGCTAAATGAATGGCGGGTTCCCTGACATGGAAGGTTGTTCCTCCATCCTCAGTTTTGCAAGTACAACCTAAATTGAAAAACTTGAAAGAGTACTTAATTAATTATTTAAATAAAAAAAAGTATGTTACTAAAGAATAGTAAGAGAGACACTAAACATCTTCAAATTGGTAGTCAAGCTCAACTTTAGCTTAAATGAGCTTTTAAATGAACTTGATTCACTAACAAGATAAGTTAAACATTTTCGTGCAATTGGAAACCTATGAAGATCAATCCAAGACCCAATCTAAGTATAAATTTTAGCCAGTATTTTTCCCCAAAATAGTTAAATATCCTCTTCTTCGCACTGCAGCATTGGATGCACGCTCCATTGCTGCAGCTGGCTGTGCTTGTGATGCTGATTGAACAATAGCTTGTTCCTTGGGCATATTCATTGCTTGGGTTATGACATTCATGACTATGAATCCGAGAGGGATATCAAATACATCCACAACAAACAAAAGATTCAGTTAGTCTTACTCAAGATGGTTTAAACAAAATACAGTAAAGGAAATTGCAACTCCTTCCCTTGTTACATATTTGGCTCGGAAAGACCTTTCTGGTGGCTGCACAACTTCACCCTCCCCATTCTCACCACCTAGAACTTCTTCAGTGAAGATTGGAGCCCTACAAAACAAAAGGCAATGATGAAAGCAACCCTTTTGGTTTTTTTTTAGATTGAAAAAAGCAACCTAAAATGAAAACAAAATCACTATAGAGAATTTGCAAATATGATGCATAATTGTATACTATGATGATCAACTTGGACATGGAGTGGATACATTTAAGTTATTTACTAAAACAAACTTGTCCATTGAGAAAGACCTGTATTTTATGCTCTTGAAACAGTAAAAGAAACAGCATGAGATTGCAATTTACAATCAATAAATTCTCCTTTAAGCCATGAAATAGCTTCCAATTAGATGTCTCTCAATAAAACTGAAGATAAAGAAAGAGTTAATAATGTTGGGAATATTAAAAATCAGAAAAAGAAATAATAGGAGCTATAACATTAGCTCCAAAAACAAGCGAATAATATGGATAAAAGAATATCTTGGTGCCTGCTCATTGTTCTTTAAAACTGTGTGGGAGTTGAAGGCCCATTTAAAAGGCTGTAGTACAGGTAAAGCAAGCATAGATTACAATACAACTAGAGAAAAACTTTTAAGACTGCAAGAAATCACATTTAATCTTTGTGAAAGTTCAGTTAATATTGCAAAATCAGTATGTCAAAATCAATCCTCCGTTTTACTTAGCAAGAATAAAATATTCTGGAAGACTAGAAGACAATAGATATTGAATGCCATGACATGCTTAAGTACACTTGATGAGTTTATAGTTGTTGAATCTTATGAACCTTAATTGACCTTACTATTGCGGAAGAAATGCTATTTGAAACTGCAACTTCAAAGTGACCTAAATTTCTTGTAAATCTAGCATCTAGGACAAGTGTTGGAGAAAAAATTTAGATCCCATATAACCCATTAAATGTAAAGTTACTATTAAATCTATGAGTTGGCAAGGTATGATTCTACACATTACACATTAAAATAACAAGTTCAATTTAGAAAAAGATATTATAGTAACACAAAGGAAAGTTCACACTTCACATTTTAAAGATATTTGCTTAAACTAATTGTAGAATAGAACAAATGGCAACAATGACAACAATTAATTTGAGGAAGAGGCTATAATCTCTGTAGTTTGCTTTGCTCAACTAACTGAGAAACAAGAGAAAAGTAAGAGATAAACAGTAACTCACAAGTTTCAACTGCCCAAGATATGGACATGCCCCTGGGGACCCATAATTGACTGCCAAGATATTTACACCTTCCTACAACAACAGGGATAAAAGAGCAATGGAAATCAGGCAAACTACAGCAAGAACTAGAAAAGGAAGTTTCATCCTGACAACCATCATATATACCTCCTTAAATAACATTTTCCAATTTTATACACAAACTGACCATATGGTAATCTAAAAAAGAAATAAGCAAGTAAACATTAGATGCATGTCAAAGCAGTAAAAATTTACCATGATGTTAGGCAAGTTAGCACTAAAAAAGGGAAACTCATTACCATTGATTGAATAATAATAATAAAAAAAAAGTCGTTTTAAAAGTGGAAAAATAATGATTTTCATTTATAAATATGATAAATATCAAACTAGAGTTAATCCCATTTCAAACAAGTGTTAGAAAGATTTACACATTACATTACACAGTAAAGCTGAAAAAACAAATCTCTTCATAACAGGTTTGACAAAATTAGAACAATTATCCAAAACCCTGTCCTACATACACACCTAGGAGAGGGGGAGGGGATGATGCAATAGCACATGTAAAGTTAACTCTAAATTACCATGTGTATGACAAAATGCTAGTCCAAACCCTCTCATGGAAGACATCTCTAGAGCTAAACAAAAAGATGGTGATCCATACAAATTCAAAAAGAGACAGCATAATTAAATTTTCAGAATAATTTGGTAATTGATGGAAGAGCATTATGGTATTACATTTTTTAAATTAATATTTGAAAACTAAAGTTTCAAATTCATTCAAAAAAGCTCTTAACTTCCACTATCAAATTTTTATAGCATCAAAACTTATGGGAAAATTATTCAACTTCTTTTAAACAAATGCTAAGAGTAAGAGTTCTTAATAAAAGCAACTAAGATCAAACAGTGAGATGAAATAAACATTCAGATTCAAGGCATGCTGTGTGGTCAACAGATTTAAGGCAGATTGCAGACACCCCCTCTTAAGCTTGGTTGAACATAAGTTGATAAAGACCTTAAATCTGACAAATAACTACATGGTCAAAAAGTTTCAATCCAAAAGCAGAAAAATAAATGTCCATTTGACTAACAAGCTAAAGAGCTTACGAAATAGTAGCAAAATCCTCAAGAGGAAGATAATAGACCACAAAGATCACAAAGTTTTGAATTCAAAAAAACCTTTAAGTGGTTAACTTACCGCTTTCACTGATGAGATAATATAATCCCTCCCGGCAGGACTTAGAACATTGGATGGGAGTCTTACCCTGTAGAAGTCATCACCTTGAAGCAAATTCTGTAGGACAAAGAACAATACAAATCAAAGCGGTGTACAATGATTTATTGCAAAGACGAAAAAAAAAAAAACCAAAAATCAGGATTTCAGATAACATGCAATTACTTTGAACTTCTCCTTCTCCTCATCAGTGAAACCATTTCTTGAAAACTACAGCTTTGTTACTGTCTGTCACAAAGAAAAATTGCATGTCAAATCCATTATCATACTTGGAATGTTCTAAAAAGAACATCAAGCCAACTGTAATTGACAAAGAATTCAGGATCAATCATTCAAATCTCAACAAAAGAATTCAAAAACTTCATTGAGTTTCTGAGATAAAAGGGGAAAAAAAGAGAAGGAAAAAAGGAAGTGTAAACTCTTTAGTAAACCCCAATTAGTACCCCAATTTTTGAACTTTATTTTAGCAATTAAACAGATCCCCAGAACAAACAAACAGGACGAAAACAACCAAGAAGCTAAACTGGCAATCAGAAATGAATTCACGATTAACAATTTAGCATCCGATTTTAAATCTAACCTGACCACCATGATTCCAAGTCTTGAGGCGGGCAGAGAAGGTGCCAGCGGGAACAAAATCGGAGACACTGAAAGCATGCTCCAAAGAGAACTGTATCTTGGAGTCAAACTCTGACTCCGAATGCCTTTTTTGGGAGGATCTAGTAGCAGTATGGATGGATGCGGGTTCAGGGAAGTGAGGCGGAGCACCCTCGAGACTGAACTCCTCGTTGTCTAGGGGTAGCTCATCGGATTCGAATTGGAAAGAGGGGAAGGAGGAGCGAGAGAGTGAGAAAGAAAGCTAATATCACTCTTTTCTTCATTTTTCTGGTTTTCCTGTCAAGAGGAGGAATCAATGGGTTTTGGGGAGTGGACAAGGGTGATTGGATTCCTCAAAACGACGGATAACACTTTGTCGTTTTAATTTTTTCGGTTAGTCCCTGAACTTTTTTTTTTTCGAGTTCCCATAAATTTAATAAAAAGTTAATTTCGATTATTTTACCCTTAATTTTTAAAATTGTTATAATTTGGGGGTTAAATATAAAAGAGTATATGCAATTTCTCAAGTTGAAGAAAAATTCGATTTATAAATTAAAGTAAGGTTTGAGTAGATTTTAAAACTATTTTGCTTTTGTTCACATCGAATGATAAATTAGTTATACAATAGAAAATAGGTTTTATATTTCTTTAATTTTTTTCACATGTCTTATGGTTTGATATCAAATTATTAATTTAGATTTTAAATTTTTAATCATTTGAGATTTCCACTTAAAACTTAAAAGTATTCAAATTTAGGAAGATGTTAAGGCAATTTTTAAATGGAGATTTGTTCTTAAAATTGTTCTCCCTCTCTCCTTTTATGAATGACAATTCCATTAATAATTTAAGAAATTGGTTTATAAAGTCTACAAATAAAATGGTTATGGTCATAAATTACAAATTTTAGAAAACAAGCATGATCGGTAATCCCGCGAAACAATTATCATCTCACCTCTCAAAAGAAGCATCATTCACCTACCAAAGCAAATTCTAGATAGATCTTGTGATCCCACTTCTCTTTGGTTTGTTGCAACAAAAACTATGTAGCAAACTTTGAATAGCAAAATCTAGGTTGTCACCTTATTTATCATAAATGTTTGCTTATAGGGTCTCTCATACCCAGTTAGTTAAACCTAGACCAAACTCAAACCAAAGAAACCAAGCTTATAAAAATATTAAAATTTTATTTAGATCATCAACTATGTAATATGATAGTAAAATTATTTATACTTTTAATAACAAATTTAGAATTCACTCCCTAAGCTAAAATTAAGGTCCTATTTAGTATAATTATGATTTTTTGTTTTTATTTTAATATGTTTTTGTAACATACTGTCATAATTATTAAAATATTAAGAACAAAATAATTTTAATATTATTAAACAAGTTTATATTTTTTGTTGTCATTTTAAAACTCAACTTAAAAAAATTGTAAGTTTTTTATTTTTAGTGTTGGGTTTTAGTAATGGTTTTATTTAGTATGACTATGGTTTTTTATTTTTATTTTAATGTGTTTTTGCAACATATTGTCATAATTATTAAAAAATTAAGAACAAAATAAT